AGAAAAAAAAACATCAGAGCATACAAAATGAAATTTCCCATCCAGAATAGACTATACAATGGCTTAATCCTACATGTTATCCTCAACAAATAATTTTCCATTTCTTGTTTTATATATATACACACACATATATACATATATATAAAACATATGCATAAATATACATATCTATATGTATAGAGATATAGATATTTCCCCTATTTCTCACCCCCTGCCATTTCCTACCCTCCTCCCACACTGTCTCTGGTATCTGCAGTTGCTTTCCATTCTTTTTTTCCCCACATTTTGTTGATTCACAAAATATCATAATTAATCTTTTTTCAATGGTAAGTTCAGTTGATATATACATATCTGTGAACACATGTTTGACTTTAGGCATGAAACTCTGAGTTGAATGAATATACTATAAAGCAGCACTTAGCTGAGTCTATATAGCTTACTGTGGTCATTAAATAGATATTTTTAAATATATTTTTTAATTTCAGGAAAGGCAGTTCCTGTTTTAATAAATCAAAAAAAAAATGTTAAGAGAACATTGCTTAAGACTTAAAGCCAGGAAACAGGTCAGGATTCTGTTCAAATAGTAGGTGCATGGACCTGATGACAACTCAAGAGAAGACAAAACTCCTTCAATCTGGGAAACAAAGCATCGAAGATTAGTAATCTTTTAGTTAAAATTCATAAAATTCTATTTCACCAGTTCAGTATCATGTAGTTAATCTAACTTCTTTCATGGTCCGATCTTTTCATTTAAATTCTGGAAGATAACGTTCAACTCCAGACTTGCCCCTACCATTAATCTGGCCATTTTCTTAGTTGTTTTTGAGCTCTTATTTCTGTGTGTCTAACCTTAATTTTCCTGATATAGCATTCCCTTTAGAGCTTCTTGGAGAGCTGATCTGGTGTCAGTAAATTTTTTCAGGTTTCGTTTATCTGATAATATTCTTGTTTTCTCTTACCATATAAAGGATAATCTTGCTGAGTATAGTATTCTTTGTTGAAATTGTTTTTCACTTAACGCTTTGAATATATTTCCGATTCTTTCCTTGCTTGCATTGTTTTCAATGAGAAGTCTGCTGTTAGCCTGATGGAATATCCTTTGTAGGTAACTTGATGTTTCTCTCTTACCAATCTTAATATCTTGTCTTTGTCTGTGGTTTTGATCAATCTGGCTATAATGTATCTTGGAGAAGATCTTCTTGGGTTGATTCTATTTAGGGACCTTTATATTTCTTGGGTCTGGATATTTGAATGCCTTTCTAGGTTTGGAAAGTTTTCTTCCAGGATTTTATGGAATAGATTATCAATGTCCTTATTAGTCTTCTCACCTTCTGGGATACCGATTATCAGTATGTTTGCATGTTTAATGGTATCTAGTATTTCTTGTAAATTATTCTCATTTTTGGTGGCTATTTTCTCTGTCTTTTTCATAAATTTTTCTAGTCCAGCAATTCTATCTTCTACGAGATTCAATTTTCTGTATGATTTAGTCGCTTTTAATACTTTCAAGGGAGTTTTAGACTTCCTGTATTATAGCCTTCATCTCTAACAGTTCCATTTGATTCTTTTTTATGATGTGTATTTCCTCTTTCAGATCATGCAAGAACTTCCTCACCTCCTGGAACTCCTCGGCTCTTTTCTCCTGCCTCTTTTGAAGTTCATTGTCTTTCTTTTACATCTCTGTTAGCTTTGTCGCTATGAATATTCTAAATTCTTTATCAACACATCTGTGAGTTCAGTTGTACTGTCTGTGGATGAAGAGGAGTTTTTCTTTTCCCTTGGGGGAGAGGTTTTTTTTTTTTTTTAATTTCTTGTGTTTCTTGTGCTTTTGTGATGATTTCTGGTCATCTAATGAGTTATGCAATTCTTCCTAATTTCTAGCCTTTTGATCTGAGCATTCAGAGGTGTGCATGAGGAGATGATCTTCAATCTGTTTGCCATTCTGTTTTTATCCCCTTGAGTGACAGATTCAGTGGGAATTGAGGAATATGTTGACCCTAATAGTATACAAATGTTTGGCTACTGTTCACTTAGACCTGTCTAGACACTAGGTGTGTGGAGGCTGAGCAGCAAAATGATGAAGGTAAAAGAAAAAGGATACGGAAATAGAGAAAGGGAAAAAAAATGAGAGAGAGAAAGAAAAAAGAGAAAAAAAGAAAAAAAAAAAGCAAAAAATGAAACTGTGTGGTACACCCAGTGAATTCTATGCTGCTTCCCATCTTTTATCTGTCCCTGTTTCTATTTTCCACTTTTGTTTTATGTTTATGTGCATCTCCCCAAGACTGGTGTCCTGACACATCTTGGAGGTGGCTCCATAGTTCTCCAGGTCATGATAATCATGACTCCATTGTAGAAGTGTAGAGATAGATGTCGTCATTCAGCTTCTGGAAAGGAGCAACTACAAGACAAGCACCTTACTTGATGCATTCTCATTGACTAACTTTGATGAGTTTGTCTACCATCTCAATCTCTCTTTCTGCTCCCTTTTATTAAAGACCCCCCCCCAGGATTCACAGAGAAACAAAGAAGTTATGAGATGAAAGGAGAACATTATTCTGTGGACTTTATGTTGCTGACAAGTAAACTGGCTATTTATAGAGAAGAAAACGGTTATAATCTGATTCTGACTATAGAAGTTTGAAATGTAGTACTCCCCCCAAATTTGAAATATCTTATAAATTTTTGTCTCAGTGTTTTGGCTACTCAGCTTTTTTACTGGATTGCTTGATATTTATGGTAGTAAAATTTGTATCTTCTTTAATAATTTAAAGTGAAGTTTTATATATTTTTCCTGGGTTTCAAATTTATTGAAATGTGTCCTTTAAGAGGAACTCAGAGATAGGTAGAAACAACCTCCAGACTGATGTCAAGGTGAAATAAAGCTTTGGGTTAGAAATAATTATTCATGGGTTTCATAATTGACAATCTTGTGCCAGATAATTGGAACATCATTTTAGAAACTTGTTGTGATTGACTGAATTTAAGTTGAGTCTCAGCATTCAATCTAAGGTATGCAGAATGTGTAATGCTGTCTGCAATAAAAGCTAATGGAAATCTCCTTTAAAATTTGAAAGTAAAAATTTGTGAGGGCCAACTCCACAGCACAGTGGTAACATACTGGTCCAGAGAAGCTGGATCCCACCTGGTGACCTGTGTTTAAATCCCTGGCCAGGTCAGCCTGAAACATGCTGAGCACATGAGTGTCTGCTCAAAATTTGATGGGTTAGATGATTGGAGGAAGGGGTTTGCTCCATGACCAGATATTGTAGAGGATACTTCCTTCTCTCTCTCTCACACACACACATATTTTGTCATAAATAAAGAAAACAAAAACCCAAAATTATGGTCATTCGGTGTGTTAATGGGTATGGGAATTTGGGGTGATTCCAGCACAAATGGTTCACATATATGCTGGCTCTTAAGTTTTAGAAAAAAAAATTTCCCTTCAGAAGAAAAAGATGAACTAAATGATTAAATTCCCTTTGGAATGCCAGAAGAATGTAGATAAAAGCTGGAAAAATTCAGAATGACCATTGCCTATTTACTTCCACCCGCACCCCTGGTAGATATTGCTGATTGATTAAAGTTCACTTTTCTACTGCTGCCTTATGATCATCAATACAGTTTTCCAAGTAGCTAGTGAGAATTACACAATTCAGTAAGAGAGACACAAACTACCTAATCATCTTAATTTAGTTTAAGTTGCCAAAGGGCCTCTTTGTCCGAGAAATACTTTGTGCAAATATCAAAGAAGTAGATCCTCCAGCCTTAGTCTAGCCTTCAGAACACTGTAGCCCCAGTCAACATCTTACTGCTACCTCACACATGCTGAGTCAGAAACACCAAGATGAAATCTTCCTCAATTCTTATACCACAGAGACTATAAAAGATAATATGTAATTATTATTGTTTTTCATCAGTATATTTTTGGAGTAATTTGTTATATAGTCACTACCAATTCACATCCCACCCCTCTTTCTTATTATTGGAGAAGTTAGAGCCTTGAAAGATAAAAAGGGGATGGTGTATTTGAGCCACTCAGTGTAGAAGTTTACCTGCAATGGGGACAGATAGACTTTTGAATTGGATGTAAAACTTAATTGGACTAGAAACTTAAGGAATCTTCCTAAAACATCATTCTGGATAGAAAAATGGAAATTTCACATCACATAATTGGGAATCTATTTGGAAAAAAGTGAATCTTGCCATGTATACTTGAAAGAAGTGGCACTCTTTAGGAAATGACTTATAGATTAATTAAGAGTTTTTAAAGAGTACAATAGAGGAGAAACTCCTGTTCTATCTTCCTTGGTTCAATTTAACCATAACCATGGCCAACCTTGGACCATGGTTCATGACCTCCAGCCCCCTGAGCTAAAGAAGTAGCCCTCCAGAGTAAGGAAATCATAAAGTACTAGTTCTACAAACCTAAACTCATGGCATAACAAATATCAGAGGAGTTACCTATAAAAAGAGTTTTTCTTTCTGAACCTGTCACATGTGAGAGTTATAGAATTATGAAATCCAATACCATTTTGTAGCAATTTCTCTCTGTTGTAAAGATGCTCTGGCATTGTTTTGATTACTCTAGCCAATATGATGGAAGGTGATAAGTGGTACAGGTGGTATGGATATCTGCATGGTGTTTTAGGTAGCTAATTTAGTGTTCATGTAAGTCAGCCTAGCCCCTGTCAAAGGCAAAAATAAATTGCCCACTATGACATGGATATACACAAATTTCAGGTTCATCTTTTAGAGATATGATGGAGTCTTTGTAGTTTCTGTCACTGTGAGGAGAATGTAGAGTGCCTGGCCTTTTAAGATAAACTTCTAGAGATTATTTGAGACAAGTTGGGAGGCAGTGGCAAGTTTCAATAAAGATTTCAATCTGTGTTGAGTTATGACAGAGTTGGGGTAATTTTATTCTTCTGTAAACAACATAAAATCTCACTCCTTTTTTTCCCCAGTTGGTTACTGTGCTCCAGTGCTTCCTGGAACAAATGGCCTTGGAGATGTCCCATATGGTGATACAAAGAGATTCCCCCTGGTTGAATGACACTGGATATCAGCACTGTGGATGTGCTGGGGCTACACAAGTCTTGTAGGTCACAGCTCTGCAAAACAGATGGTGTCTTCAAGGCAGGGGAGAGCTCTGGACATTAATTGCTACCATACTTAGACCCAGAAGAGAAGCAAGTCTAGTGTGACTTACTCCTGGTCTGCTACTCCAAGAGAGAAGAAGACCCAGCTAGTGTTTGTATGAAACTTTCACATATGCTGGCTTACTGAATTTTACAAGATAAAACAAAACTGTGATAGTGTTTTTCTCATTTTGCCTGTAAAGAATCTGAGGTTTAGAGATATGATTGGGGTTCAGGAGCATTGTAGATGTCTCAGCTGTCCTGGACAGGTACATAGTTTTTGTCATGGGATGACATAGGTACAAACATGTAAGAGGAAACATGAGGAGCCTTTACAGGTTAGGCTCTGCATGACCGCAAGTTTACCTCCATCCTCATTCATAAACCCTGTGACTGAGCCTGAGGGAAAACTTGGAGATTACATTCACTTCTAGGAAAGTACTGCGCAGCCGTATAACACAAGGGTGCAGTATTGGGCCACAGATTCAATATGTCCTGCATCCTAATTCATGCATTTTGGTATGATTTGAATTCCCCAGTGTTTGTTTATATCTATTGCTTATATAATGTTATCTGTTGTAAAAGAAAGATTTGTCTGGGGTCAGAGTCATGCAGAGTATGTTCTGAAGAGTTAGAGACTACAGAAAGAGAGATCAGGGAGAAATAATTTGGTTGGAGCAGAATGAGTCCTGGGAAGAGGTTGGGCTAAGGGTATAGAAAGTAGGAGGAAGCCAAGTGTAAGAAATATTTATGGGACTGTATGTGCCTGCCTAAGGAATGTGATTTATAGGAAAAAATTTACTATGATACCAAGGCTCCTCGCTTAGGGGCTTATAATTAGTGAGGATCAGGGTAAAGGATCAAATTTGGGAAAAGATAATTCAGGGTTGAATATGGTAAATGTAAAGGCTTGTAAGATGTTCATGAGAGATGCCCATGAATCATTTGGACTTTTGGATCTGAAATTCAGAAGATAGGTCTGTGCTAGAAACAAAGATTTGGGCACCATGAACTTGGATTCATTCATGCCCTAGGAGTAAGACATACAGTTTCTCCTAGGAGGCTTGTGTATGGAAGAAGTTGAAAACCCATTGACTTTGAAGAGATAGGAAGATAAATGAAACCCATGGAAGAGATCATAAGAAGTGGAAGAGGAAAGTTTTATCAGAATCTCAGAAATATCAAGATGAAATAAATTGCTATAATTGGAGTTCCTTTTCTTCCACATCCAGAGTTCTTCCCTAGGCCAGTGCCTGCATCCTCCTGCCCTTTCCTGCTGTGATGGCAGCTCTTATGGAAAGAAGGCAGGTGTGTAGCTTCCTAGTCTTTGTGTGCAAAGGAGGAATCCATAAGGATAAGATAGTCTTACTTTGCTGTTTCAAGTAAATACAAGATTTACTGGACCCTGAAACCCTTCCCAATTAATTTTTACTTTTTTCAGGTTTTAAATCACTGTACTCAAAGGTTTTAGCATTTTTACTTGAACCATATGTGTAAGTGAATTTTTAATTCAATTATTTGGAAGTTTTGTATCTACGCATTAAATTAATGACGCTGTGACCAAATTGGTTTTGTTATGCTGTTCTTTAGACACGACTTATAAGACATAAAGAGGAGATGAATTGGTATGAAAGCAATGCCATTGGAGACAACTTGTCTGCATAAAACAATTTTTAGAGGAGATTTATGTCATCAGAAAAGTTGCTTTTCCTTGGAACCATCTGAATCACACTTGCGAGGCCTGGCTCATGTCTCTAGTGGTGCTTGAGTTGAACCCAAGTTTGCAATTTTCTCAAAAGCAATTACTAATAAGGGGCCTTATTGAAGAGGCAATGAAACTGTTCATCATCACAAAAACACTTACAGCAGGGATGAATACCCTTACGGAAACACTCGCTGTGCTCACTGTGATGTTTTGTTTCTTAGTCCCCTTGAGGCTGTTTCTACCCAGTCAAGGAAGTGGAGATTACAGGCAAGAATCTAACATGATCAAGAGATAAGACTAAAAGTTTTGGGGACCAGCGGTTGGCATAATGGCTATGTCACTGGACTCCCATGTAGTCGACCGCAGTGCAAGTCTCAGACCTGGTGGCTTAAACTCACGCTGGGCATGTGTGCGTGCATGCCCAAGATCCAGAGAGGAGAATGGAGGAGGGATTACAACGTGGCCATCCCCCCAGGGGAGTGATTACTTACTTTCTGTCTCTCTGTCTTTCTCTCTCTATCTGGTGAGTGCATGTGCCCTATAGCAAAAACCTCTCCAAAAATAAAATAAAATAAAATAAAATAAAATAAAATAAAATAAAATAAAATAAAATAAAATAAAATAAAATAAAAAGTTTGTTGGTGAAGAGACATTGACATTAAGGTTTTTTTGCTGAGTGATTCAGGCCCAGTATCTACATGAACCTATCAAGAGTTCTCAGCCTCTTGTTTCCATGACTGAATGCCAGCCTGCCGATGCTTCTTATGTAGTGTAGGATTAGAACAAATTGTTAAAGTTCTAAATGTGACTTTTCAGGGCTGTTTACGCCAGGTCTGCCATACCCTTCATTCTCCCTTCTCAAGAGTTTAGGAGTGGATTTCTCTGGGTCTCAGTCATACCTGTGGTTTGAGTCCTATCTCTGCCACTTCCTGTACGAACTTAGGTGAATCACTTAACTTCTAGAAGACTCCATTTCCTAATCAGTAAAATGGAGAAGATAACATAAACAGGGCTGCAGACTTCATAAGGACACTGAGAGGATTAGATAAATTAATGTATGTAACATGCCTGGTAGATAGTCCATGTTCAGTGGGCTGAAGTCATTATTATTAAATAAGAAAGTTCAAGTAGTCAATGGGTCTCAGATTGAACATGCATGAGATTTTTTTGTGTATGTGTGTGTGTGTGTGTGGGGGGCGGACTGTTAAAAAGAAAGATCTTTGAAATTATTCCTCTAAAGATTCTATTATGTAGATCTGAGGTAAGGTCTAAGTATCTGCATTTTTAGCCAGTTACCCAGCTGATTCCAATGCAGATGTTTGCAAGTACAATGTGAGAACTACTGGAGCAAATGCATGATCTTCCAGAGCTTTCTATAGGTTCTGAGGCACTATACTCCAGATTAAAACAACAGAAACAAGGAGATTTGCTTGCGATTCAAGATAAATTCCAAAATTCCAAGTAACATTCTGAAGGCAGAAGGATTGAGGTTTATTTTGGAGAAGCAGAGATGGGAGGTAGGAGCTTGTTAAAGCTAGGGAAATGGCAGATGTAATGACTCAGAGACAAGGTCTAGGTAAACTGCATTTTTAGCCAGTTACCCAGCTTATTCCAATGCAGATGTCGCAAGTGCCGTGTGAGAACCATTGGAGTAAATGCATGATCTCCTAGAGCCGTCTTTGAGCTCTGAGACACTGAACTCCTGATTTAGATACAGAAAGGAAGACATTTGCTAGGGAAATGGCGGGTGCAGTGACTCAGTGGCTGGAAGAAGGAAGTATGGCCAGGAAGACCCGCATCACTGAAGAGGGGAATGGGAGCTGGAAGGCAGGTGAGAAGGCCATAAGCGTGTGAAGAGCTCCTCTCTGCGCCCCCTCCCTGCCACCAGGCAGTGTTTGGGAAGGTGATTATTGTGGCCTTGTGCATGGGAGTTCAGAGTTAGGCATACTTATTAGAGGACACCTGCTAGTTTCAGGTCTGCTCTCATTAGAATTTGCATTAGGGTGACAGCCATCAGAACAGAAAAACAGCAACATCTCCAGGGAGTTTTGAGTTCTCCTTGACTGCATTTTAAAAACATATTCAAGTCCAGCTCTGTGGAATTGCATAGGCCACAGTTGCTGTGAACATAGACTTTTCACCACCAGGTAGTCAATGGGGACTTAGCCTCAGAGCAACAAAACAGTAAATGTGCAAGAACTAGTAACAAGTGTTGAAAAGATTGTGTAAAATTTTAGGCACATGCCCCTGCCTCCCCAGTGGTGGTACAACACTCTTGGGTTCCAGTGTCAAGGCTCTGGATTTGTTCTTCTTCCCTCAGGCTGTTTTCATATTTAAAAATCATTCAAACAATGGGAGGAGAGGGGAGAAGTTCCTCTGATGTGCAATAGAAAGCTCTGCCTGAGCACCTTTTGCCCCAGTGTGGTGAGTAACATCTGCCGGGAGCCCCAGTCCTGTTCTTTGCTCTGTTCCTTCCATCTATGCCTTTGGTCTCTTCTCTCTGGAGTGGCTGCAGGCTCCCTCCTGGGAGTGGAGATCTGAGCAGCTGTGAGACAAGGGGGTTTAGTCACGTCTGCTTTTGGGGCTTGTTCCTAAATGTGATGTGGAAGGGAATGGGGCAAATCCATATGGGCAAATGGATTTTTAAAAAGGAAGATGGATATTAAGTCTTGATTACTATGACAGTAGTCCTTGAGTAGACTCTGGCAACAAGCTATCCTTGAAAAAGAGCAGAACTTTTGATAATTTCTCATTTTGATGCTGCATTACCTCTGTAATTTCTCTTAAATGCTTTATTTCTCTTGTTCCATCATGGCCAAGATGTTTAGAAAGCATTATGGTATTTGTGACTCATATTTCCCAATTTTTAACTGAATTTGCTTTTAATTTGGCCAGGGACTTCTTCAAGTCAGTTTGGATGCTGCTTCATAGAAACCTTTGTGTAATGCCTCCCCTCCCCTTTAATCCTCTCTTCCTTCCTTTTTAATTCATGGCAAGTAGCTAAATATAGCTCACTTTATGGTTTTATTATCTGCCTTAATTATTTTTGTTTTGCAGGAAGGGAATCCTGGAGTAGAGAAAAACTTTAGGGGAGTAGTGGAGTCAGATGACCAAAAATCTTTTAAAATTGACTTTGTTTAAACATGGGTCTTACTATATTGTGAAAAATTTTGTGTGTGTGTGTGTGTCTTTGAAATTTAAGTGAAAACTTAAAATAAGGAAACTTGCAAATGTAAAGTGATAATTCTCTGTAGGAAGAATTCAGTAAATGCTAATCATGTGCAAAGCAATAAGAAAACATTTCGTATGCCTTATCTAATTGACTGGTGGGGGACTTTGTGAGATAGCTAATGTCTCCAATTAATAGAAAAAGAAACAGGCTCAGAAAAGTTTGGTATCTTAACTAATGTAAATGGCAAAACAATATTTCTGAATTTGTATTCCATGTGGGAGGATTTTAGTAAACTGTGAAATACATATTGTTGATTCTATGTATTTTTTTTCCCCATAGAATTAAAGAGCTGGAGGAAACCAAAGGATATAATGTATTTTGGGTGTGAGTGTAAATTAGGTGGTGGTGATCAGACAATGATGTGGAGCTCCTAGTTTTCCCAGGCAAGCCTTGCTAGGTAATTGCAAATGCAAAACCAAAGGCATTAATCTCAGATGTGGAGGTACTATGCATGTTAGAAATTGTTTTAGTCCATTTAGGTTACTGTAATGAAATACCTCAGACTGGGTAATTTTTTAAATTGTTGTAAACAACAATGTTTTTATTGCTCATAGTTCTGGAAGCTGGGAAGTCCATGACCCAGATGCCAGCGGATTCAATATTTGATGTGGGCTCCTTCACTGCTTAAAAGATGAAGTGCTCTTGCTGAATCTTTGACTGGCGTAAGGGATAAATGCTGTGTCCTTCTGTGACAGAAGAACACAGGGAGCTTGCTTGAACCTTATGGGATTTGTGCCCTTATAAAAAAGGCTCTACCTCATGACTTAATCATGTCTCGAGTGCTCCATACTTAATTACATTGGGTATTAGAGTCCAACATATGAATTTAGGGGGGACTTCAATATTCAGACTGTGGTAGGAAAGTTATGAAACTCCTGTGCGGACCTGGAACGGGAATAGCAATGCCACAATTCTGGAAGAAAAATTCAGAGTCCCAGTGTGAAAGCGATACCAGTGAATGTTGAGTGATGAAACATTTTGTCAATGTAGGACCAAATAGATACGTGACAAGTCCTCTTGGAAAATAACATTGGAAAAGACAGCAGAAAGCAGTTAGGCCCTGGGAGATCTGACACAAGTGAGGATGTCACAGGTGTGGGGGACTGGCTTAGCTGAAATGCATTAACATTTTAGTATCATAGGGAGGACATGTCCAAGATGAAATGGCCAAGTTCTACCAGGCAGGTAGGGAATAGCAATAATCAATATGAGATTAACCATTCTCTGAACTACTTTTATATAGATGGCACTTATTCCATTGATTCATCTGGAGGTTGAGGGTTCAAGGTTAATGCTCTAGTCTGAAGAAGATGTGAGTAATTGGCAGGATAATGAGTTGGAACACGGGTACAAGGATCAAAACAGGAGCCTTGATTAAGCCAATGGCAGGAAATGAGGGTAGAGGATGGTTTGAGGTCCATTACTGTGGGAGGGACATAGGTGCTGACAGTCATTCCTGGCGCTCCACTTCTTCTGATCAGCAAAAGGAAACTTCAGGAGCAAGGTAGAGCCATACATTTTATCAGTTGGCATAGTGATGTTGCATCTTAGAGAAATAAATAAACTTTGCATATGCCAGTTTTTCCTTGGGATTGGATTGGTCAGCGGTTGGGACAAGGTAACATTTTAGGAAGATTTCTTGTCATTGGCCTAAACTGTGGTCAGCCTGGGAGGGCCACCAAGAGTAGGGAGGAGGCCGGTCTGAGCTTTAGGAAAGGCACCACAGACAAGTACAGAGGGTTTGCAGCCCCACAAAGTGTGCCAGCCTACCCTCTAAGCAGTGCCTGGGGATGCTTGAGGATATGTGGAAATAATTACAGAGCCGCTCCACTTTTCCTGCTTGCCCCTTTTCTTATTATTTCCCTGTTTTCCATCCCATTCCATCTCTAATCTTGCTTTTGCTTCTTTCTTTTCCCAGAACTGTTTTTGGCCTTTGAATTTTGGCTTCTGATCTCTCTCTCTTTTTTTTCTTTTGGCAAGTCATTTTGTATTAGTTAACCCTTTCTGATACAGATCTAGCCCTCTCATAAACATTTACTGTTTTCTCATGTGAACCCGAGACAGGGCTCAGTTCTGTAAATGGCCTTGGGAACCTTCTGATCTCTCTCTCTTTTTTTTCTTTTGGCAAGTCATTTTGTATTAGTTAAGCCTTTCTGATACAGATCTAGCCCTCTCATAAACATTTACTGTTTTCTCATGTGAACCCAAGAGACAGGGCTCAATTCTGTAAATGGGCTTGGGAACGTCAATCGTCATTGATAATTGTGCTTCTGAACAGTTCCACGATCTCTAGACCGTTCCTGTTCTGGTTCATCCTAAATATATTCAACTGAGCAACATTTTTCAGAGTACACTGCATGGAGCACTAGTGTACCCCATGATGTTCTCTGCAAGGGGCTCTGTGGCCATGATGGTTGGGAAGTGGCATATGTTACATGCTGCTCTTGGAAACACACCATGAATATTATCACACTCAAGGCTCTGAGAAGTCCTACAGTAAATGAAACACTTCAAAAACAAAAACGTTTTCCGAAGTTACTTGACCTAATTCCTATACACATTCCGCGTAGTGGTGTTCCCTAGAATAAATCTGGGGAAATGTTGTCATAGAATATAGCATGTTTTATGCTTTTTGTTTAGGTTGTGAGGCCAAGTGATATTTATTGATAGTCTTCAGATCTAGCTGAAAATAGAGCATCCTTTGCAAACAAACATTTTCTTTTGATACTTCATTCCTATAACTCAGGAAACCTCTTTTGCATCCGTATATGGGACTTTTTTTTTTTTTTTTTTTTGAGAGGTTTTTGCTATAAGGTGCGTGTGCTCAAGACAGAGAGACAGAAAGTGAGAAATCACCCCAACCCCCGGCGGGGGATGGCCATGCCACAATCTCCTCTCCTTCATGCTCCTCTCAGGATCTTGGGTACGCACGCACATGCACCGGCGTGAGTTTAAGCCACTGGGTCCGGGACTCGAACCATGGTCAACTACATGGGAGTCCAGCAACATAGTCATTATGCCAGCTGCTGGTACCTTGGGACTTTTTTAAAATATAAAATTGATGTGGGTCCAGCAGGTGGCATAGTGGTTAAGGCTCTGGACTCCTACATGATCAGCCAAGTACAAGTCCTGCAACTGGCAGCTTGAAACTCATGCTGGGCATGTGTGCATGCATGCCCCAAATCCTGAATGTAGAATGGAGGCAAAGGGATTGTGATGTGGTCAATCCTGGGAAGTGATTTTTCGCTTTCTGTCTCTCCATCTCTCTATCTGTCCAGTGAGTGTACACACCCTAAAGGGAAAAAAATCTCTCAAATAACTAATAAACAAAATAAATAAAATTGGCATGATTATTGTATATATTTATGGAGGATAGTGTGATTTTTCAGTATAAGAATACAACGTGCAAGGATTAAATCAGGGTAATTACTGTACCCATTGTCTCAACCATTTGTCATTACTTTGTGTTGGGAATATTCAAGGTCCCTTTTCAGGTTCTCCAAGATATAGAATGAATTGTTGTTAACTATATATACTTTACTGTTCTTTATAACACTATATGATTCTTCTTGTCTATCTGAATTTTGTTTCTGTTAACCAACATTCTTCCCAAGCTCTAGTAGTTATTCTCCCACTCTATTTCTATGAGGTCATACTTTTCAATTTTCATATATGAATGAGAGCATGTGGGATCTCTCTTTCTGTGCCTGGCTTATTTCTCTAGCCAGAATGTCCTCCAGGTTTGCCCATATTACCTCAAATGAGAGTCTTGCTTTCTTTTTTAAATGATAGAATGCTATCCCATTGTATATATTATATAGGATATTTCTTATTCATGATTACCTCACATTGGGAGGAAAATAATAAAAAGTGGGTACCACAGAATGGAAATTTTCTTCCAGAATATTATTCAAAGATGATTTTGTCTTAGAAAAGAAAAAATAAAGCAGGTACTGAATATATTTTAATTAGAAATGCACAGTAAAATAGAAATAGCTTTGTACTGGTTAGCATGACCTAGTCATAAAAATGTTGATTCTTAAAATTAGTGAATTCTCATAAAGGAAGACACAGCTGTTCAGCCAGTAATAACATGACCTCCACTTCTGTGAGTTGGTCATTAAAAACCAGTGTGAAGTAACTACCTGTTCCTTTTATTGTTCTCAAGGGAGAGAGATTCTTGGAGGCCCTGATGGGTATGTTATTATGGGGGAAGGGGGCAAAGGGAACACTTTAAAATGTCAGAGCCATTTTCACAAGTCTTGAACTGTTAGTTGTTATGAAGTATAGTTGCATCTTCTAAATTTATAACCTTCAGATATTCAGCCAAATTCAGCAAGCAAAATGAAAAGAGGTGGAAGTAAAACACAGGAGAAATACAGTTGCATACCGATTCTCTGCCTATTGGGCTTAGTGAGCATATGTCTAGGGGAAAGGATAGATGGGAAGTATGACCTGCTTTCCCTCTGCCCCCAAGTGCATCCTATAGCATGAGTGTTCCTCGGCATGGAGGTGATTCTAGTGTTCAGCAATTTACATTCCTCTTGTAGAATGGAAAACACCAACACTTCTAACTATACCTTAACTACAGAATCAGTGATTTGTTATTTTGGATTAATTAAGATATTGTACTTTAACAAGATAATGACTTTTCAAAGGATTTTTAAGCATACTTTGGCTATCTGTAATGTTTACCCTGTGCACACATTTCTAAGGAACCTCCAACAGGTTTTGCTGAACTCATTTTCTTAGTGTCCCAAGTCCCACATCTTATTCCCTTGTTCTTCTCAGGAGGAGCCTTGGGGGAAAACTGAGTCAAGTTGTAGAGAGATGCATAACTCAAGTTATAGAGTCATGAGAGATGCATTTGTCACCAGCAGCTGGATCCATCCTAAGGAGGAGAGTATTCCGGCTACCCTGCTATGCTTTCTTGGAACTGAAGTGTGATTATAGTGAGTATGAGAATCAGTACTCCATTCTTTGTCCATTACACACAATAAATAAGAATATCATCATTTCTAAGCTGCTGGATTCAACCACAGGGATTAGATTGGAAAGATTTGTAGTGAACTTTTCGCCATCATAATTCTAGTTAGCTTAAGTGTCATATAAGAGCTGGTTATTCATTTTTGTTCAGAACTACTTTTTTTCCTTAAAGAATTATTTTATTTAACTTTATTTATTTATTTATTTATTTTTAATTTGACCAGAGAGGGACAGAGCAAGAGAAAGAGAGAAAGAGAGAGAGAAAGTGAGAAAGCAAGTTGCCAGGTTTGGGACTTGAACTGCAGTCAGTCATGTGGGAGTCCAGCATCCTTAACTGCCATACCACCTGCCGGCCCTGTTCAGAACGATTTATGGAAACAAATAAAATTTTAACCCAATTAATAATAACAAACAACAACAAATGATAACACATTTGTCTACCACTTTGAAAATATCAAGCCAAGTCATAGCTTTAACCTCACTATAATTCACCCTGTTATATAACAGTAAAACAGATTACAGCAACTATGAAATAGATGGTTCTGTGTCTACATGTGACCCTCTTGTCATCAGTACAGATTGTCGTATCGTTGTGTCTAATATGGAACTTTTTGTTGGTTTGTTTTTCTTGAGAGATTTTTGCTATAGGATACATGCACTCACCAGACAGACAGAACATGAGAAATCACCCCCTAAGGGGGATGGCTATGCAACAAACCCTCCTCCTCCATTCTCCTTTCAAGATTTTGGGCACGTACGCATACACAAGTTGCTAGGTTTGGGATTCAAACCATGGTCGTTCATGTGGGAGTCCAGGGCCTTAAGCACCATGCCACCTGCTGGTCCCACAGTCATTTGTTTTAATTATTAAGCACTATAAAGTTCTTCTGCACTGCTACAAAGGGAGCAATGGTTATTTCTGGAGAGTGGATCTAGGAGGATTTGGTGGGCTGTTTAAATTTTTTTGCCTTATGCATGTACCTCTAGTTAAGAAAAAGAAAAAAGTAAGGGGCCAGCAGGTGGCATGGTGGTTAATAATACTGGACTCTTACTTGATTGACCACAGTTCAAGTTCCAGACCTGGCAGCTTGAAACTCATGCCTGGTATGTGAGTGTGTGTGTGCCCAAAATCCTGAGAGAAGAATAGAGGACAAGGAATTGTGGTGTGGTCATCTCCCCGGACAGTGTTTTCTCACTCTCTCTCTCTCTGTCTCTGTCTCTCCAGCAAGCACATGCGCCCTGTAGCAAAAATCTCTCCTAAATAAATAAATAAATTAATTAATTAATTAAATGCCTAGAGGTGATGTTATTTTTTCCATAGTGCTAAGCCACCAGAAGTAAGTGGAGAAGGCCCAGAAGCCAGGATGTCAAACATTCTGAGAATTCTTACAGAAACTGACATACCCTACCATGACTGTTGGAGCCCTGAAGAAGCAAACTGGGCCATAGGAATGTGATGCCAAAATGTCTACCCAAAATGGTGAGTTGCTGTGAGTTTGTTCCTGGAGTCCACCAAGCAGAAGAAGTGAGTGTTATCAGAAGGAAATTACTGTCCCATATCCTTTTTCTTTTTTTCTTCCTTCTTTCTTCAGCACACATGACAAACATATAGATATAAATATAGATACGGATAGATGTAGACATACAAACGGAGAAAGATAGAAGCACCCTCAGCAGTATATCATTACATGATCCACTTTCCTCATCCTTCATCAGGATCCTGGGTGCTCATGCTCATGTGTATGCCTGGCATGTTTTCAGGTTGACCTATGGATCTGAGCCCATGGCTTCCAGTCTTGTAGGATATTGTATTACCCTTCACTAGCAGGGTCTCTCCTAGGTTTTGTATTTGTCCTGGAAACAGAAAGTAATAAAATACACTTTAAGGCTCATGCCCAGAATTGTCATGAAGGACTCGAATTTCATCATTTCTGTCATCCTCTCTCTCCTTTCCTTGCCCTTCATGTGATAGAGTTACTGAGCAGTGCCACAGGCTCTGTGTAGTATGGTAGGGGATACGAAGTTGAGGCTCAGGGGCTCCTTCAATTGAGGGAGCTGAATGACTCTTCCCTGAATGGTCAGAAGTTCTCTCTGCAAGTCTGCTTTTATTCAGTGCTTCTGGCAGAATAGTCTTGTTCACTTTTCACTTTGATAGATTTTCCTTCCTGCTGTCTCCACACGTCTCTCTTCACTGAACGTCTATGATATTAGCTCTGTTATTTTTTTAGACACATTTTTTTTTCTCTTCAAGACTTCAGGCAGAAACTCAGGCAGTTACAATTCTGTCTCTGGCCTTTGCAATGATTGATTGAACTTGTCTTCAGATTCTACTCTTGGCTTCTATCTATTCTCTTCAGATCTATTACACTTATTCTTTTCCTTTCAAACACCTATTGAGAGCCTTGGGATGATGTCAAGAATAAGAATGTGTTGGGCCAGCAGGTGGTGTAGTGGTTAAGGCTGTGGACTTCCACGTGGTTGACTGTAGTTAGAGTACCATACCCAGAGGCTTAAAACTTACTCTGGATGCATGTGCGTGCATGCCCCAAATTCCAGGAGGAGAATGGAGAAGGGATTGTAGTGTGGCCGTCCTCCCAGGGGGAGGGGATGTAATTTCTTGTTTTCTCTCTCTCTGTATCTGGCAAATGTACATGCCCTAAAGCAAAAATCTCTATCTAAAAAAAAAAAAAAAAAAAAAAGAATAATAGTGTGAAAAATGTGCTTATGCTATGGACTGAGTGCCCTTCCCACGTCCCTTGCCTTGCCACAAATTCATGTTGATGTCACCAAGAATATGACCTTGATGGCACCTAGACTGGCACCTAGATTCCTGATGTTTAAGTCACCCCATCTAGTGGTATTTGTTATGGTAGCTTGAGCTGATTAAAAAGCACATATAACTAGCATCTGCAAAGGAAGTGATTTTTACTCTTTGCCACTCATTTTTCATGTACATAGCTCCTTAATGGGTCATCATTATCTTGGATGGCTTCATTTTAAAATCCAAATATTTAAACAGGGAGGTAGCATGAGTCCTGATTATAAAGACAGATGGCATTTTGAGTAAGAATGTGCCTCTGGAGGGACAAGCAGATGGTGTAATAGTTACATTGCTGGATGCCTATGTAGTTGACTATGGTTCAAGTCCTGGATCTGGCAGCTTAAAACTCACGCCGAGTGCATGTGTATGCATGCCCAAAATCCTGAGAGGAGATTGGAGAAGAAGAGATTGCAGTGTGGCCATCCCCCTCTCCCCCTGGGGGGTGATTTCTTGCTTTCTGTCTCTCTGTCTCTCTTCTCTGACAAATGAATGTGCCCTATAGCAAAAATAAAAACAAAACAAAACAAAAAAAACCAAAAAAATCCCAAAAGAACAAAAACAAAGCTCTGTCTCAAAAAAAAAAAAAAAAAGAATGTGTCTCTGGAGACAGTCTATATTTTAAAAATTTTTAACTCTGTTCCTAGCAGCACCATGCACCATATAAAAATTCTGTGACCTTAGCAAGTTACTTAATCTGTCTTATCCTCAGAAATTTCTTCTGTAAAATGAGAATAGTAGAGTATATGACACATAGAGTCATGGTGAGAATTAAATGAATGAATTCACAGGAATTAAATTAATGAAATCACTTAACACAGGGCTTGACACATAATAAATAGATACCAATAGTTATTTTTATTTATAGCAGTAGATAGAGATGGTGCTACCTACTTCAGGGTTAAATTTTAGTCTGCTTTGTTATTTGTTTATGTGTGTTGCGCTGGATGCTTGTTAAAAATGGAAAGACATTTTATTTGGGTTACTGTAGTAGAAGGGAGCTTCAGTATAGACCTGAGCTCAGCTTCACTGAAATAAAAAGTGGATAGATTTTTAAGCACAGATCTAGTGGAAAAGTACTGGAGGGTATTAGGTGGTTAAGTTGGTCAATGTAAGTAGGACATCTGTCTGTTAATTATTGAAGTTAGGCTCTATGACGGTTAACTTTGTATGTCAACTTAAAGGGGTCACAAGGTACCCAGATATTTGCTTACACATTATCCTAGGTGTTTCCTTGAGGGTATTTTTGTGTGAGATTAACATTTAGATTAGTAGACTAAGTAAAACAGATTGTCCTCTGTGAGGTGACCTCATTCAATCAGTTGAAGGCTTGAATGGAAGAAAAGACTTTCTCTTAAGTAAGATACTTTTCTTCTGTTGGTCTTTGAGCTAGGATATTGCTTCTTCCTACTCGATGGTCTTCAATGGCCTACGTAAGCTCTTCTTGGTTCTACAGCAGTTTTTCTTGTTTGGACTCAAATTAGGGCATTGATTGCAGATTTTGGACTTTCCAACGTCCAGTGAACACATGGAATAATTCTTTATTATAACCCCCTCTCAAACTCTGCTAGTCCTTTCTCTTGCTTGTTTGGTTTCTCTGAGAACCATGACTAGTAAGTATAGCTCCTACCCTCCTGCAGAGACTGGCATTATCTATCTTGATATCAAAGGGATGGTTCTCAGGTCCTTGATAAAGACATTCAAATGGATTATAAAACTGGCAAAAGGCTAGGAAGTGATTTACATCTCAAAAGGGCAGAGAAAGAATTTAGAGTTGCAAGTTTTCAAAAGTAAATGTTCTAAGCAAAGGGAAGTCAAAGGTCTGTAGTCAGGAAGAAACCTGTCTTAATTTTCAGTAAACTGAGGACAATGCTAATGCCATCTTTGTCATGGGTTAGGCACTCTTCTGTGTCTTGAATTACAGAACTATTATGGGCATCAAAATCTGGAGAGCATATAATTTTTATATGTTTAAAAATATTTTACATTAAACATTTTTGTGACAGACCCAGCTGGTAACGTAAGCAGGAGGCTGCAGGCTGATGGCTGAGACTGCCTGAGAGGCCTGGGTTTGATTATCAGCCCAACCTAATCAGGCTGGGCATGATGGGAGCATTCCTTTGGCTCTAGCTACCTAGGGGCTAGCTAGCTAGGAGGCTGGGACAGAAAGGGCCATAACATGGTGAGACGCAAAGAAACACCCCCTCTCACTAATGAATAAACAAACAAGCAAATATTTGCTACATAATGCCATGAACAAGAACTTAGTTTTCCTTTAGCAAGAATAATTAGCTAAAATAAGCAGCTAAAGCATTTTATTAACACCTTCTATGAACCTTGCTTATAAAGTCGATTTAAGTGACTATTTTGTGAAACTTGCTCTCAATGTCAAACTTCTGAGTTAGGGACCCAGCTGCAGTAACGCATGCTGGTCGTTGTCACTAGGTGCTAGGCCGAAATCACATGAGAGACCCAGGTTTAATTCCAATTTACCCTAATTGCCAGGCTTAATGGCATGCACCTTTAGTCCACGCTACTCAGGAGGCTGAGGTAGGAGGATCATGACAAAGCAAGACCCTGTCTAAGAAAAGAAAAATTCCAGCTTATGGCCTTGCAGAGAATGCAATAGTTGAGGAAGTCAGATGAGAAATGTGGCCTTCTAGTAGGATTATATGATACAGTAAATGTAGATACATCTGGAATAGTGTTTGAAATATCCTCCAAAATGCTATTTGATATAGAAATTGAACTCGTTCCCATTTCTTGGTCCCAGCCTGACTGCCTGACAGTACTTTCTCTCTTGGATATTGCTACTAGAAGCTTGGGATCTCAGTGTTCCTCCTCTTGGCATCTTTTGATGAGAAGACACTTTCTCTCTGTGCCATCATCTGATGTGCTGCTATCCAGGAATTCCATTTATTACTAGGAGGAACTCAAGGGCATTTGGTTGTCCTAGGGAGTTGATGGGCAGGAGAGGAGATATGGAAGGGCACCAAGGAAAAAGAGGCAACAGGAAGCATAATGGTAAAAATTACAAGGAGTAGGTAAGGGAAGGAAATAGGAATGAACATTGGCTGCCCATCACCATGCAAAGCTAGTGGCTGCATCTGATGGCATGGGGTGGGTGGGTAGGCCAAATCCTTCTGTTCCTGCCATGGGGAACAATGCTACTGAAATTACAAAGGGAGAATCCTATGACTATTCAGATTTGCACATTGATTAAAAGCAGAGATTAGGGGCCAGGTGGTGGCACAGTGGTAACACAACTGGACCTACATGGGAAAAGTTCTGGGTTCACATCCTGAGACCTTCCTGAGTATGCTGGATGCATTTACATGTGCTGTGATCTGGGCCATTTGGGACTGGTGGTAGATTATCATGTTCTTATCTCTCCGTCTCCTACAGAAGAGATAAATAAGTTTAAATTTAAAAAAGCAGTTTTTTTGTGGGAGTCTGGTTAGAATTCCCCCTGCCCTTTTTTTGTTCTGTCACTGGCTGTGTGATCTTAGACACATCACTAAACCACAGTGCTCTCCGTGAAAGGAAGATAATTATACATATCTCACCTGTGAGAATTAAATGAGATGATGTGTGTAATGCATAGAGACAGTAACAGATATAGCTGTTGGACCCAAAACAATCTTCTAGGAACTGTA